TTCTGGAGGGGGTGGCGTGGAGGCTAAGCCGCAGAGGAATGCTGCTGCCGCTCGGAGGTGCCTGGTGTGGCCACCCCCTCCCATGCCAGGCTAGGAGGGCTCTGCCGTCTGCTGCCTGGGAGAAGGCAGCACCCACTGGGGGGTGAGGAGTGGGGGCAGCTGGGGAGAGGCCCTCTGGGCAGACGGACAGACTGGTGGACTCTCTCTCCCTGGCATCTAGCAGCCTGAGTCTAGTCTTTCAGACAGGAGCTGTCCCACTCCCATCAGCCTTCTCTGCAGGGTACCCATCCTGCCTCCTCATGCTGGGCCAGCCAAGCCTGGAACACCTCCTCCACATTCCTGAGGCTGGGATCATGGGCGGGGCCGCTGCCTTCAGGACGGCCCTCCTCAGGCTGGCCTTTAGGGAGGAGAGGGTCTGTCTGCCCCTGTCCCAGGGTCAGGGAAGAAAGTCTAGCTTCCTCTACCCTCATCAGCTCCTGAAGGAGGATGCATGATCTCCCCCAGAACGCTGTGCCCCCCATGGTGAAGGGGGCTCTGGAACATTGGAATTCACAAAATCAGTATCCCAGAGTTGATGGGACCCACCTCTAGGTCCTCCTGTCCATCCCCCTGGGCCAAGCAACATTAGAATAGGACCTGTTTAAAGGAGGGGTAGCCAGGCCCAGGCTTTCCAGCCATCATTTCACCCGCACTCCCGGCCCCAGTGGAGTGGGTACCACCACCCTCATTTTCTAGATGAACTGAGGCTCAGAGAACTAAATTGCCCAAGACCACACAGCAGGGAAATAGCAGAGCCTGGGTTCAAACCCAGTCCTTCCTGAAGGCCAGGCTCTTCCCCCCACACCATGCTCTCTGCTTGTATGCCTCCAGTTCCAGAGAGCTCACCCCCTAACAAGGCAGCTCATTCCACCTTCAGACAACTTCAGTGACTGGAGTTTTTCCTTTCCTTAAACTGAAACCACCCCTTGTGACTGCCATTCTACTTCTAACTCAATACCAGCAGGCCAACCCCTCTCTCACTCCAGCCCCCGAGAGAGGTGGGGACACAGATCTCAGCCCTCAGAGCCTCACAGCTTCCAGTCCATAAAACAGAGGGCTTGGTGGCCACCCCAGGCCTGCCCCCAAGCCAGCCTGGGGGCTCTGGCATTCATGCCATCCCGTGTGGTCTTCCCTGTCCCCCCACCCAGGCTGTTGAACGAGAGCGACAAACGCCCCTTCATTGAGGAGGCCGAGCGACTCCGTATGCAGCACAAGAAAGATCACCCCGACTACAAGTACCAGCCCCGGCGGCGGAAGAACGGGAAGGCGGCCCAGGGGGAGGCCGAGTGCCCAGGCGGGGAGGTCGAGCAGGGCGGGGCAGCCGCCATCCAGGCCCACTACAAGAGTGCCCACCTGGACCACCGGCACCCAGGAGAGGGCTCCCCAATGTCAGATGGGAACCCTGAGCACCCCTCAGGTAGGTGTGGCGAGGGAGCTGCCTGGGGCTGGTGGCAGGCCTGGGGGGTGAGCCTGGGCCGTGGAGGGAGAGAGGGCTGGGTGACTGGATGCTCATGCAGCTCTGGGTCCTGGAGAGGGCTTAGTGGGGTCTCAGGTGCTGGGGAGACAGTTGGGCAAGGTGGCCCTGGTGCAGGGCGAAGAGGGCAGGGGAGGCTGTGGGGGCCGTGGGGTGAGAGGCCTGAGGTGGTCACAAGGAAGGGGGGTCAGGACAATTTTGAGAAATGAGGGGAAGAGTCCACTGCCTCTGGTTCACCTCCCAGTCCGACCGGGAGACGTGGCATGTGACGTTGAACCCCTGCCACAGGTGGGCAGACAGGCAATCGTTTCATTCTCATTAATGATAGTGACAGTTAACAGAGACCAAGCCCTGCTGGGTGCCAGGAACTGTGGTAATTGCCGTATGTGTGTGGATGCCTGTGTGAACAGTGTGAAGAGGAGCGAGCTTCTCCCCTCATATTACAGAGGATGGGACTGAGAGTAACTTGCCGTGTGGGAGCATGCTGAGCTCAGGGAGGGCACGCTGAGCAGGGCTCCGTTGCCTTCAGAAGACACATTCTGAGCACCTGCTATGGGCCAGGCCCTGGAGGAGGTGCTAGGCATATAAACCCGGGACGCCAAGGGCCCTCCTTCAACAAGCTTGTAGAGGGAAAAGCAGGAATGAGAGCAAGGTCCCAGGTGAGATCCCGAGGTGACATGACCACTAGGGAGGAGCCTTTCATCTGTCCATCCACCCAGTCAGGTTCTCCACAAACATCCATCGGCCTGCCCAACTCTGGCCACGGAGGGCTCCCAGTAACCCTGGCTGGTCACTATTACCTGTTTGACCGGCAAGGAAACTGGTTAAGAGAAGACAGGTTTGTCCAGGGTCACACACAAGTGACAGAGCCAGTATTCAAACCCCAGAAGATCTGTCCATGGCCTTGACCAGTGCAGGACTCGGCACTGCCACTGGTGTGATGGAGAAGGTGTAGGCCTGCCTTCAAGAAGCTCCTGGCCTCACAAGATGGTGGGTGTGCTCTCTCTGTGACGGGATCCCCAGGCCAGCCATCCCTCCCACACACAGCCTCTGAAGCGTCAGAGCTTCAGGGACACACACACACACACACACATACACACACGCACACCAGCCAGCCATGTACAGAACCACCACGGGGGCCATGGGCTTTCTCTCACCCGCAAGGCTTCAAGTTCACACACCCCTCATCTGTTAGACCTTCCCCAAGCCCCCAAGACAGAGTGGGTACAGCCCACTCTTGTGTCCCCGAGACCTTGCATAACCATCATCACAGCCCTTTTGATGTGTATGGGTGTGTGGGTCGCCCCATAAACCACAAGCTTTTGAAGACAGGAACCCATTTTATTTAGGTTGTGTGCCTAGCACCTGGCCCAGTGCCTAGTGTGGGGCATTAGCATGTGTTTGCTGAAGAAGTGAATGACAACGTGAGCGGTGAAGGGGCAGGGATGGAGCGAGTCAGCTCCCTGAGTGCTCCCCTATGGTGGCCACACAGCAGCGACGCAGAGCTGGGCCATGCTCAGAGCTGGGCCATGGTCAGGGACTAGAGTGAGAGGAGCTGGAACTGAGCCTGGGAAGCAGGGCTGGAGCGGAGAGGCAGGGCCCCGGCAGGCCAGCAACAGTGAGACAGGAGGCAAGAATGATGCAGGCACGTGAGGCTCGGTGAGGACAGCAACCAGCTGAGGCCCGGGGAGCAGCAGAGTAGGGAAGCCCCTTACCCCATGGGCCAGGCCACAGCGGGCCTGCGCAGCTAAGGAGGCATGGAGGACAGAGTAGCCGGAGAGCTGGCTCCAGGGGATCTGCAGAAGAACTTCCCACCAGGAAGTGGTCTCCACAATGCAGCAGGGCTCTCCAGAAGATGGTGACAGAAAGGATCCCTGCACCGGTGAAAACAGGACCCGTCCCTAACAGCGGGAATTTTATAAGCGACTAGGACCACCCTAAGACTCTTCTATAAGCAAATGCAGCTCATGTCATCAAAATGTGCAAGTTCACATGGTCGTCAGACCTGAAGGGGAACCACTGGGGAACTGGGGATCCACTTGTGCCGTATGCCTCCTGACTTTGTCTCCCCCTTTCTCTCTCTCTCTCTCGATCCTCTCCCACCCAGGCCAGAGCCATGGCCCACCGACCCCTCCAACCACCCCAAAGACAGAGCTGCAGTCAGGCAAGGCAGACCCCAAGAGGGATGGGCGCTCCCTGGGGGAGGGCGGGAAGCCCCACATCGACTTTGGCAACGTGGACATTGGTGAGATCAGCCACGAGGTAATGTCCAACATGGAGACCTTCGACGTGGCTGAGTTGGACCAGTACCTGCCGCCCAACGGGCACCCAGGCCACGTGGGCAGCTACTCGGCTGCCGGCTATGGGCTGGGCAGCGCCCTGGCTGTGGCCAGTGGACACTCTGCCTGGATCTCCAAGCCACCAAGTGTGGCTCTGCCCACGGTCTCGCCACCTGGTGTGGATGCCAAAACCCAGGTGAAGACGGAGACCACAGGGCCCCAGGGGCCCCCACACTACACCGACCAGCCATCCACCTCCCAGATTGCCTACACCTCCCTCAGCCTGCCCCACTACGGCTCCGCCTTCCCCTCCATCTCCCGCCCTCAGTTTGACTACTCTGACCATCAGCCCTCAGGACCCTACTATGGCCACTCAGGCCAGGCCTCTGGCCTCTACTCGGCCTTCTCTTACATGGGTCCCTCTCAGCGGCCCCTCTACACAGCCATCTCTGACCCTAGCCCCTCAGGGCCGCAGTCCCACAGCCCCACACACTGGGAGCAGCCAGTATACACGACGCTGTCCCGGCCTTAAAGGGGGCCCTGTCACCACCACACCCTCCTGGGCCCCTCCTGGGTACCGCACCCCCTCCCCAACCTTTGCTCCCCGTTCCTTGCCCATCTCGGGCCTGGTGGCAGCCATGGGGGAGGCCACAGAGGCTGACGGCTGAGGGAAGGCTTTCTGTTGGGTGTGCCACCCTCCATGACCCCACCCGTTCCACCCAGGCTCCAGCCTGGGCAACGTCCTGGGCCGCTAGGCTGGGCCGAGGAGAGGGAGGTTGATTGGTGCCCCTAGACTGAAAGATGAGGGACTGCACCTTCCCCCAGGAATGACCCTTGACCCCAGGACCTGAGAAGGACCCGCTCACCCTCCTCAGGGAAGAGGGGCATCCAGGGTTGGACGGGAACTAGAGGCTTTGCCACTCCTGGGCACGTGTTTCCTCTCACGGGGAGCGAGGGGCCTGACACGACTCTGTGCCACAGCACCTAGGGGCCAGGCCAACCAGAAACCACGTCAGTGCCAGCAGCTGGCTCTGTCTGCACTCGGGGGCCAGGACAGCTCAGAACAGCCTCATGGGGTATGAGGGGGCTGGGGACTCAGTAGGGGTTCTCCACCTCCCCTCCTAGATCCCTCCCCTCCTGAACACAGGAAGGAGTTGACACAGAGCCCCCCCCCCCCCCCCCGATCCACTTCTGTGCCAGTAACCTCATTCTTTGCCTGATGGCGAACAGGAGTCCCAGTCCTCCTCCAGGCCAGCCTTCCAGGCCTTGGGGCGCCTCCCAGGAGGTGAGGCAGGGGCTCAGAAAAGCATTCAGAGACAATTCACAGAGCTTCCTCCCCAGGCTTTTGTCCCAATGGCCTTCATCCCTCGCCAGGCTCTCTGGTCCCTGCTGTCGGCCCCAACTCCCTGAACTTCCAGGATCCTAGCTGCTCAGGCCAAACCCTGGGATCCAGGGGGAGGCGCAGGCCTCAGCACCCAGGTGGCTGGCAGCAGGCTGAAGACACTAAACTCCCGACACGTCCGTCCTGCCCTTGCCTTTTGCCCTTTGCCCCCCAGTGGTATTTGAATAAAGTATGTAGCTGTATCTGCCCCTACTTGCCTGCTCTCCAGCCCTGCTCCCCATGTAACTCATTTACTGCCCCCTCTTATTTATCTCAGTAGCCGCCTCCCCTCTTCCAGCTACTCCAGCCCCTATTAACTCTGCATTACGCATTCCACATAATAAAAGTAAAGGCTCCAGTCACCTGCCTGGTGGGCCTGGCCTGGCCTGTCTCTTGGTCTCTTATCCCTGTACCTGTGCTTCCTCGAATGCTCTCTGGAAGGATCTAAGGTGGAAAGGAAAAGCACAGAAAACCCAAAGGTCTCCTCTAACAAGGTGGGGGCAGTGGAGTGGGTTAGGTTGTGTCCCAGGGAGGTCAGTCTGTGCTCAGGGGCTGAGCTGTCAGATGGGTATCCTGCTGAGCAGGGGCTCAAGCTGCAATTCACGAGAACACCTCGCCAACAGCCCCCCTGTTCACCCAGCAGAGAGGCTGGACAAAAAACTCAAGGGAGGGAGGTCCTGGATGGTGCAAATGGTTAATGTGCTTGGCTGCTAACTGGAAGGCTGGATGTTCGAGTCCACCCAGGGTGCCTTGAAAACTGAGTCATTAAAAACCCCATGAAGCACAGTTCTCTGACACCTGTGGAGCTGCTGGGAGTTGGAATCGACTTGGTGGCAAATGGGAAAAAATTGTTGAGAGGTTGTGGGTGAAGTCTGACGTCTAGATTCAGCAGGCCTGGGCCTTCTCTTGCTGTACCCCTCAACTTGCCACATTCAACACACACATACATACACGTATTGGTCCATTTGGGATCTAGCTGAGTCCTCACAGTGCTGCCCGTTTCTAAACCAAGACCATGGGATCAGACATACAGTCTGCCCTTGAGGGCTTACCTCCCAGTAGTCTTTTCCTTGGCAGAAGTCCAATCTGTGCCAGGGGCCAGGAGCCCCCCACTCACACACACCTCACTGGCACACAGCCCCTGGGACACGGCAAGGTCTTTGTGGTCCTGCCCCATTGACAGCTCTGGTGCTTGGAAGTTTTTCCCTACACCCAGTATCTGTTTGTTCATACAGTGGGAGCTCCCATTTCCTCAGCGTCCCCCAGGCAAGTCCCTGGGTGATACACAGTTAACACACTTGGGCTCACCTTTCAGTTAGTTCGAGACCTCCTGGAGGCACCTCGGAAGAAACGGCCTGACACTCTGCTTCTGAAAATCAGCCACTGGAAACCCTGTGGAGCACAGTCCCACTGTGACACACGTGGGGTGGCCAGGAGTGGGAGCCAACTTGACAGGAGCTGCTTTTTCACCTGCTTTTCACCTGGGGCGGCGGCTTTCAGAGCCAGAGCGGGTGCAGCCCCTGCCCCCTTCTCTGTCCCATCTGGGGTCTCCAGCCCCTCACCACCTAGTCAGGACTGGGGCAGGGGGACACCAAGAGCTCGTTCAGTCCTCCCAGGCGGCCAGACTCCCTTGATCTGGAAGCCAGACCACACGAGCTCTTCGGGCAACCTCCCCAAACCTGCAGGCTTCCGTCAAGCCTGGCAGTAAGGGCAAACCCCTGCCCACCTACAGGGCACCTGCCGCGAGGTCAGACCGCCCCAAACTAAGCTGTTAATTTTTCAGTAGCAAACTGCAGGATTTTATGCGGATCTTCAGCAGATGCCACCTTGTTGGATTTGTCCCGTTTTCCCACCGATATTTGAGCTTTTGGAATTCTGGAGCCAACTTATTATCTCTATGGACCTGTAAACGAGAGTTCTCATCCAAGGTGCTAAACGAAGAGGGATGTGTGCACCCCACGGAACCCCTCCTTCCATCATTTCTGTATCTATCTACCCCACTACATGTACCCCATGTTCTGAGGGAAAACTGTCTAATCAGCTCCGAATCCATCACCCTACCACCGTGTCGTGGACAGTTTGCCATCAGACCTGTGTGGAAAGATTACCAGCACCTTGCTAAAAGATACACTCTGTGACTTCCCCGATCTGCAAGAGCAGTAACCAGCAGAAGGGAATTCGGTTCCTTTGGTGACGCTGAGTCTGAGAGACCCTCTGCTAGCTCCCAAGGTCTCCTGTACTAAGTGCTTTCAAAGTGCTTCTCAAACCTATTCTAGACTTTTACAGATCAACCGGTACCTACTTGACACGTTCATGATTTTTACACCCACCCTTTCTCCTTTATTGAAAAGCAGAACGTGCCCATCTCCAGCCTGCCCGCTGCTCCTGCTGGTGGGACAGCAGCCCTGGCACTGGCAGGGAGAAGGGGGCGGGGTGAGGGCGACATCAAGACACTACCTGCCAGGACCCTGCAACCCGGACTGACTCGGAGACTGACCCTGGGGAGTCAGAAGACCTGGGATGCTCTCTCATCACTGAACGCAAAGGGTCTGGATGTGCCGAGTCGTAATTAACAGCACCTCCTCTTGTAAGGAGAGAAGGGACCAGGTGTTTCTGGAGAGACGATGCCCACACCCTACAACAGACCCCATAGTGGTGGCAGGTGATGTGGGCCTCAAGTCTAAGCTCAGGCCTGGCCAGCTGAGTGGCGAGGGGCTCCCTGAAGGGCGGCAGGGGGACATCCCTTTCTTGTCTCCCCCACACCCTGGCCCTGGGGTTAATCCCATTCCCTCCCCAGTCCCTTCTCTCCTCCTCTGCCCCAACCCCACCTCCCTTTAATCACATCTGATACTGAGCGGCCCAGCAGGAAACAAAGAGGCCATTTAGAGAAATGGGGCCGAGACAGTGACCCCCGTGCTCTGGGGCGGCTGCCTGGATGCCAGCACAAAGGCGGTATTTCAGAGCTGAAATTTCAGCATCCAACTTGATTAAAGGATTCCACAGGCCTGGAGGAGGTGGAAGGGGTATGAGGCCACTGCTCCCTGAATTAACCCTTCTCCAGACCAGAGAGCACCCCAACACTCCGTGTGGGTGCTCCTCACTCCCACCCTGTCCAGGGCACACCTCGGCTTGCTCAGCCCTGGAAGGGGGCGGATGGCAGTGAAGGCCAAGGCTGGACCACTCAGGGAGCCAGCTCTCCCCTCAGGCTCTGGTGGCATCAGTATCTGCTCGTTCCTGATTGGTCTTACCTCAGGTCAGGTGAACAGGGTGAAAAACAGGCCCCATGAGCACCCAATGCTGGTCCCCCAAGGCCGAGGGAAGGGAGTGCCAGCCCTGATTCAGTCCAGACCTCGACCCCAGGAGGCCTTCCTGCCCACTGCCATCCTGGCACCCATCCCAGTCAAAGCCTCAGAGCACAGGGTGAGGGGGAAGGCGGGGAGGAGAGGGTGTGGGTGTGGCTGACCAGAGGGCCTGGAGGACGACGTGTGTGTGGGCAGTGGCCTGAGCAGCAGTGAGGACAGAGGGGGCAGAGGCAGGCAGGTGCCCCAGGCCTGCTCCAGCTGCAGACTTGCCCAGCAAGGCTCTGCCTGGGGAGGCGGGAGATGGCTGCGTCCCCACGCTTCCTGCTGGGGCACTGCTCCTGAAAGGGGATCCGAGCTCATGATAAGAGGCTCGAGGCAGGTCCTCAGGAAACAATGGGTGGCTTGATGAGACCTGCTCTGTGATACTCCTGAGAAGGGAGAAGCCCCTGCAGCCAGTCCCCACTGGAGAGGAAACTGGGGGTTTCCGTGGCAACCAGCTCCCTGGGCACAAAGGCTGGTCTGTCTGCGGGGAAGGCAGCTGAGGTATCTCCCCTGCAGCAGCCTTTGCTGGTGAACCAGGAGATGGAGGGAGGGGTGGGGTCCACAGGGGCAAGAGCCCCAGGTGGATCTTAAAGGGCTGACAGTCACAGGGCCAGTGGGACAGATCGTGCTCCAGGCAGCCAGGCAGTGACAGGGAGGCAGCGGTCACAGACAGGTGGAGATGGACAGGCTCGAAAACGGAATACTTTACTATTTACACGTGTAATGAACAGAGTAGAGACTGAGGGTGGGGCAGGGACAGGAAGGCTGCTCCAGCTCAGTCGGTGATGATGAGCTCGTCCACCCCCCAGTCTTCATAGCTGCCGTCTGGCAGGTAGCGACGGATGATGATGGGGATCTTTCGGGCCCTGCGGTGGGGAGAAGTCACAGTACATGAGGGCTGGCGACCCCCCCTCGGCAGCAGAAGGGACAGATCGTGTGGGGCGTGGGGGAAGAGCAGCTCTAAGGAGCATCGTGGTGGGACAGATGAGTGTACTCCACAGGAAAGGATTTAAAGTAAGAAGGAAGTCCCTGTCCTCCGAGTGGGGGACAGGCGACAGTGAGTCTGGAAGGCTCTGCCACCAATGGCAGTTGGAAGAAGGGAAGGCCCCCGCAGTGGGGAACAGGTCCATCCCGATGGTGAAGGCCCCCGCAGTGGGGAACAGGTCCATCCCGATGGTCAGAGGAGGGCCTGGCTCAGCAACACCGCCCCTTCACCTGACCCTCCTTCCTCGCGTGGGCTAATCCTGAATGAACTAAGGATCTTTAGAACAAGCACCACTCTCTCCAGCCAGCACATGGAGGGTGAAGAGGACCCCCAAGGTACCCCCCAGGCCCTGGAATAGGGAGCCATGGTCTGGGTGACTTACTTGAGCTCCTTCATGGCGATGAGCAAGGGGTCCGTCTCCCCTTCCAGTTCCACCATCACAGGAGCGCACATCCTGTGGGTACAGGGATAATTGTTAGGGAGACTGCCAATACTGGGACAAGGCCCACAAAAAGTGAGGGTGGGTCACTTCACAAAGGGGGGTGGGCATCCCAGCCCTCACCTGGAAAGGGCACCTCCCAGCTAGGTGGGCATGGGAGGGGTGCAGTGCAGAGGCACTGCCACACACCAGCCACCGTGAGGGCAGCAGGGTGGGGGACAGAGTTCAATTCTTCATTTCAAGTCAATTCAGTTAATTTCTCCCCAGCTCTCAGCACCCTCACTTGGTAACAGAGAAAGCAAGCCCTGCCCTGCCTGCCCGCCAGCAGGCTAGTGTTTACCAGATGCTGCAGGCACTTCCCCGTGCTTCACATCACTGCGCACTTGAGGAACGCATCACTTTCATCTCTACTGCTAAGGCACAGGCAGGTCAGCAACTGGCCCAAGGTCACAAAGTCAGTAAGTGGCAAAGCCAAAGTGGGAACCCCACATGCTCCAGCTCCCACACAATGACAAAGGTGCTGTGAGAGTGACAAAAGTCAGCTATCATCATTTCCCCACGTGACATCCGTGATGTGAGCGCCCCAGGGCCTGTCACAGACTCTGGGGCCCAGAAGCCAAGGCAGAGTGTCCCAGACAGGAGGGGCAGCACGTGCAGCCACACCGAGAAGCCAGCCTTCAGCAGCACCCAGCTCTCCTCATTCCCCTCCTGGCTTGTAGCAACGAACCCTCGGTGGTCTCGCATCCCTAGCCTGGCTGCCTCCACAGTGCCTACAATCCTTCCACGACACCCATGGCCATCAGGCCAGAACGCAACCTGCTCATGCCCACCTTTCTCGCATCTTCTCATGCTACCCCACTACACATACCCCTTGTTCCAGCCAAACCAAACGACATGGCTCCCTGGGCACATCCGGCCATTTCCCCGTATGTCCTCTTACAAGCGTCTCCTCTCCTACAAGCGTGGGAGAGGCTCCAGTGCATCTACCCAGAAATCTTGTGCCGAGTCCTCAATGCCCGCACTCACTTGGCACATGTTTCTCTTGGCACCTGTCCCACCACGCTGTCACTACATGTCAGATGTTTTCCACAACAGACATCTGGCCCACCATGGGGGGAGCTCAGCACACAGGCCCTGCTTGGTCCGATGCTCCACAAACACCTCCTCTAGGGAGGCGCCCTTCATTTCTCCAGCTCAAGTTTACACTAATGGACCCCAAACCTGGCAAATCATCAGAAGTAATAGGAGCACTTGCTAAAAATAGAGGTGAATGGGCCTGAGACTCTACAGCTGCAAAGCCCCACAGGTGATGCTGGTAATAAGCCAGTCGAGAAGCACTGGTTCACGCCAAACTCATTACCTCTTATTATTAATATTTTGATTTCTATCATTCCCAAAAGCCTGAAAATTCTCCAAAGGCAGAGACCACGTATTTAACTTCCCCGTGGGAGTTCCAGAACACTTAATTGTGCTCATGAGGAACCTGCACATAGGCCAAGAGGCTGTCATTTGAACAGAACCATGTTGTTTACAATCAGGAAAGGTGTGTCAGGGTTGTATCGTTTCACCATACTTATTCAGTCTGTATGCTGAGCAAATAACCAGAGAGGCTGGATTACATGAAGAAGAATGTGGCATCAGGATTGAAGGAAGACTCATTAACAATCTGTGACACGCAGATGACACAACTTTGCTTGCTCAGAGTGAAGAGGACCTAAAGCACTTACTAAAGGAGATCAAAGACTACAGCCTTCAGTATGGATTACACCTCAACATCAAGAAAGCAAACATCATCACTACTGGACCACTAAGCAACATCCCGATAAAAGGAGAGAAGACTGAGGTTGTCAAGGATTTCATTTTACTTGGACCCAGAATCAACCTCCATGGAAGCAGCAGTCAAGAAATCATATGACACACTGCACTTGGCAAATCTGCTGTGAAAGACCCCTTTAAAGTGTTTAAGAGCAAAGATGTTCTACAGGGAGGAAGCGGAAAGACAGCTGTTGCACTGTGGGGAATTACAGTCAATGTCATGAAACAACACGTGTATGAACTGCCATATGGTAAATGAATTTGCTCTGTAAATTTTCACCCAAATCATAATTAAATTTTAAAAAAACTGAAAAAATTAAAAAAGGCAAAGATGTCACTTTGAAGACTAAGGTGCACCTGACCCATGGTATTTTCAATAGCTTCATATGCACTTAAGAGCTGAATAGTAGATAAGGAAGACCACAGAATTGATGCATTTGAATTGCAGTGTTGGCGAAAAATGTTGAAGGTTCCATGGACTGCTAGAAGAACAAACAAATCTGTGTTGGAGGAAGTAGAGACAGAATATTCTTTGGAAAGGAGAATGGCCAAACTTCATCTCTCATACTTTGGTCATGTTGTCAGAAGGGACCAGTCCCTGGAGAAGGACATCATGCCTGGTAAAGTAGAGGGTCTGTGAAAAAGAGGAAGACCCTCAATGAGATGGACTGACACAGTGGCTTGCTTTGGCTCTCTCATGTCACTCTAACAGAAAATACCACCAATATGTGGCTTTAACAAACAGGAGTTTATTCTCTTACAGTTTAGGAGGCTAGAAGTCTGAGTCCAAAGTACCAAGCTCTAGGGGCTGGGTGAAAGCCCCTCAACCCTGGGCTTCAGCTCTGCTTCTTGCTCCCAGCCCAATGGAGCTGAAGGCATCTCTTAACTCGGGCAGCTGCTGGCTGCTGAGGATGGCAAACCCAAGGTCAACAAAAAAAATGGCACAGTCTCAAGATTACCAAACTACATGGCAGGCCACTAGTTCAAGTCCAGAGATAGTCTCAAGATCGACAGGAAACATAGCAGGCTACTGAATGAAGACTTGGCTACAGGTAGGGTCCAAGCATGCCAAAAAGCTGCAGAGACCTTTCTCAAAACCTCTCCTTATATGCTGGAAGCAGACCACATCCCTTAGCAGCTGCTCAGCTGCTCCAGTAGATTCTACCATGGAGCTGATTACCAATCCCATCATAGGGAATAACTACATCCAGCTGCCCAGCCACTCAAAACCAGGCCCAGCCAAGGTGACACGTAACCTTAACTACCAGATGGCTGCAACAATGGGCTCAAGCATAGCAACACTTAGGAGAAGGGTGCAGGACCAGGCAGTGTTTTGCTGTTTTACTCAGGGTCGCTATCAGTTGGAACCAACTGGACAGGACCTAACAACAACATATCCTCTCTGTACAGGGTACGTTAAATACTTTACAGTCTCATTTGAGGAAGGTACTGTTTTTATTTCTAATTCTAAGGCACAGGCAGGTTAGCAACTTACTAAAAGTCACACAGCTTGTAAGTGGCAAAGCCAAGATTTGAACCCCACATGTTCCTAACTGCAACACCTCTCATGCAATAACAAAGGTATTATGAAAGAGACAAATGTGAGCTACCATCATATTATGATTTAATAAAGTGTATTAATACTTCCTAACTGGTGCAAGACCGGGCAATGTTTTGTTCTGTTGTACAAAGGGTCACCGTGAGTCAGAGTTGATTCAACGGCACCTAACAACAACATTAATACTTTAACTTCCTCTATACCCCTTCTCTGTACATAAGGTCACTATAAGTCAGAGCCAACTCAATGGCACCTACCAACATACCCTCTTTCAAGGAGCTTTGGTGGCACAGTGGTTAAGGCGTTTGGCTGCTAACCAAAAGGTCAGCAGTTCAAATCCACCAGCTGCTCTGCAGCAGAAAGATGAGGCAGCCTGCTTCTGTAAAGATTACAGCCTTGGAAACTCTACAGAGCAGTTCTACTCTGCTACAGGGTTGCTATCAGTCGGGATCAATTCAATGGCAACGGGTTTTTGCAATGAGATATCCTCCCTCAATAACCACTTAAACTTTCCCAAAATATAAACCCTCAAACAGTGTGGCACGCTGCTGTCCTGCCGTGCACAGGCCCAATTTCTTTCGAGACAGGAGTGTTGGAGAGCATCCACTAATCCAGCACCAAGCATGTGCTTGTGATGTGTGACTGGCTCCATCTCAGCTCCCAGTTAACACCTGGGCGCTGGGAGATGAAGTCTCTGAGTATCTTCACATCCCCAACAGCAACCTGAAGCAATGTGTCGAACCCAGGCCTCCAAAACTAAACGTGTCCACATCCAGTCAGGAAGTGGATGTGATTAGTAACATCAGCCACCAGGTGGTGCCAATGAACCAAACTCAAACTTACAAAAACTATCCAAGTTGGCCCAAAACAAACAAAACAAAAAAATCCAAACTCACTGCCACTGAGTAGATTCTGACTCATAGTGACTCCCTTATCTTTCCAAAGCAGTAAATCTTTATGGAAATAGATTGCCCCATCTTCCTTCTGCGGAGCGGCTGGTGGGTTTGAACCACCAACCTTCTAATTAGCAGTCAGATGCCTAAGATACTGCACCACCAGAGCTCTTCATCCAAGTTTGTTCAGCATCTACCAAGTGCAGTGTCACTGGCCAGGTGCGAATGGTGCAACATACAACTCCACTGGCCATGAGCTTACAGCCTGGCTGGGCTGCCAGACCGCTTCCTGCTCACCTTTCCAGTTACATTCCTTAATCCAAGGACGTACCATGGGACAGAGCTGGACCATACCTTACTCCCACTTGATGCCCAGGTGCTATTTCTTCCTGTAAGTGGAAACTCCCTGTGGCCAGGGGTCCAGCACAGAGCTTGGCCCACAAGGACACCTTTTCAGTGTAGGGAGAGTCTGTTTCCAGGGCCTGGCTGGGCAGAATTGGGAGAGGACAGAAAGAGAGCGCACACTCACGCGATCTGGAGGGCCCGGGTGCCCAGCACGCGGGCTCGCTCGTACTTGGTCATGTACGGTGTGGTGATCCGCTTCTGGTTGGCCTGTGGTCGCTCCCCAGAGGGCAGGATCTCGACGTTCTCCTGGCCTTCCTGGATATCCAGGCAGAAAAGAAGGAAAACCAAGGAGCCCTGGTGGCGCAGGGGTTAAGCACTTGGCTGCTAACCAAAAGGGCAGCAGTTCACACCCACCACCCACTCCACAGGAGAAAGATGAGGCAGTCTGCTTCCGTACGGCCTTGGAAACCCCTGAGTACAGAGGAGGGAGGCTAAGGCTGAAGACTGACCTCCTCGGCATTCTCCAAGTCGTCGAGCCCTTCATCCTCCTCCACATCATCAAAGTCATCACCATCAAAACTGTACAAGAAAAGAGGACTTCCAGTAAGATGACAGAATAGACAGACAAGTGACACAAACCCTCTTCAACAGAGAAAAGACAAACCAATGGACAAAGATACAGAAGATAATCCTGGAGCCCTGAGCTGTGAAAGGAGGTATACAGAAGTGGATTAGGCATCATCTAGTAAAAAAACCTGAATGAAAACAGTGAGTACAGAGACGGTCAGAGCAGTGGCCTGTCAGCTGCTCTGACAGGACCAACAGCCTGAATATTTCCAAGTGGTGCTGGGACCTGAAAATTGACCTAAAGATCAGCTTTGGTCACCAAGAGCTGCAGGGATGACTGCACTGGTGGCCTATGACTAGGAAGGGAAACTGCAAGGGGAGAGACAACCTGAGCTGTGGACTTTCTGCTGTGCAGAGGGCACAGCCATTTTCAATGTCTACAAGCAGTGGCCAATTTTGGATATTTAAAGTGACAACATTCCCATTCAGATTCTAGGGACCTAAGAATAGGTTCCATTTGCCAAGGATGACAGGGGCATACAGGAGGCTAACAATGGGAAAGGAGACAGGTGGTGAGTGTATAAGTGCTGCCAACTAGTGAACAGAGGAGCACAGCACAGTACCCTGCTTACATAGATAACATCCAAACAAAACAAAGAAAATGAAAATCATGGCCAAGTCACTCCAACATACAATCACCAATTAAATATAAACACAAAAATGTCACAATGTCTAGGAGAGAACAGAGCATCACAGTCCACACAAAGAAGCAAGATAAAGCAGGAGAAACAATGAACCAGGACACAAACCCAAAACACATCCCTGAGGAAGATGCAGCATTGGAACTCCCTGATAAGGAATTCAAAAGAATTATATTTAGGTACCTTGAATGGACTGAGAGACAGATCGAGGAAAACACTGACAAAATTAAGGAAAACACAGAGAAAACCCTAGAACAATTTCAAAGACAATACAAGAACAAAATGACAAAATAAATGAAAAATTAGAAATGATACAAAATCTACAGAT